CGTAGATTCTTTAAGTTGATTCATAGATTCTTTAGGCACATTCGTAGAGAGACGCTTCGATTTTGACCTGGGTGCCATTATAAATAAACAAATAAACAGCGCTCTCGCTCCCCTCTGTTTCCAAAAAAAATTTATTTTGTTAAGGAGCGGTCTGCAGGAAGGTAAAGCCGGCTAAGTACATCCCCTATCAGCCACCAACGGAGAGAAATCGCCATTTTGAAGTCCGTTTAAACAAAGAAGCCTCTGTGACAAATGAGGCTGGTGTTTAAGATAGTAATAAAAGCAAAAATCTCACAGGGGTGGGACCCGCCCGTATTAATCCTAGCTTCAAACAACTTTGCTTTGTCCTGGGGGGGGGGGTCGCCTGTCTAGGGCTGCAAAAAAAGGCAGCTGAGAAGAACTGGCTGGAGATAAAGGCTCCGCTTACGCTGGATCTAATCTCTGTCCACAGCCAAAAAAAAGAAAAAGGCTGTGAATTACGAATAGACCCTAGCCACAGAGCTACTCCCTGCCCCTTTCTTAGCCAAAAAGGGGTGATATCTATGATCTTATTTAGATATACAGACCAGCTCTCTGAGAGGAGCTCCGTTGAGCCCTCTTCGGTGACAGGCTCCGCCCCCAAGAAGTCCCAGGGCAGGAAAGAAAAAGAAAAAAAGAGGAGAACAAAGCAAGGAAGGAAAAAGAAGGGAAGGAAAGAAATTATGAGAGAGAGTGAGGGTCTGAGGTAAATCATGCCTTAGCACTTGGCCACCAGCAGCTCTGCTGCCTTTTGCCATCCACTTTGACTCCTCCTTCTGACCTCTCCCATCCTATCACTGAGGATCCTTTTGTTACAAAGCCAGGTCTCCTCATAAGGAGATGGAGTGAGCTTCCCTCTGACCGGCACATTGCCTTCACACACACACCATGAGCACCTGGCCAAGGAGAGTGAGCACAGCAGCAGTGGGAGCTGGCCATGCCTACCATGGCCACATCTAACAAAGCCACGTCCACCCAGCCCCCCCCCCAAAGTAAACCACAATCCTGATGCAGCTGTCAATGAAATTGAGTTTGACATCCCTGCTCTACACCTTGTCTCTATCTATCTCATAGGGTTGTAGTGGTAAGACAAACAGTAGTGAACACTACATATGCAATTCTATTTGAAGATAGATAGCAATCTAACAAATAAATAAAATACCGCAATGTAAATCCAATTGTTTGTTTCAATAATATATACAAAATTTGTAAGACAAATTCTATAACTCCCTGTAGAAAAATTAAGTAATATAATGCAATGTAATTCCATACCATCTAGAGATATTTTAATTAACTAAAATGTTCATTTGAAACTAGCAGTAATAATCTTTCATCCACCTTTCATCTACAATTCAACATATATTTCCATTCTATTATTGCATAACTGCCTGTAGTATTTTTTAAAGTTATCATTGTTACATGATTTTTATTTTATTGTTTACTTAAAAGTCTTAAAAGATTTCTGAAATTGAGTTTTCTACTTACTCCCCCTTTAAAGATGTGGTAAGTCTAATGCTCACTTTATCCATTGCAATTATTTGCTTTCATTTTTAGTGTGGTACTTTGATTAAAAAATGTTTAATATTTCTTTGTGTTCCACATTATGCCACTGCTTTATGAACTACACTAGTTACCAGTTTGCTTTCAGGTGCAATTCAAGGTGTTATCAACTTCAAATCTCTGCATGGCATGGGTCAGGCAACTTGAGGAACTCTCTCACCCTGATGGAATTGGCCCACCCTAGCCACGCTGGCAGAGGGTTCTACGCCAGATCCCATTAGTCATGGAATTTTGGCTCACAGTAACTGAAGAAGAGTCTTTTCTATCATAGCTTCAGAACTCTGATACACCTTATCCCCTGAGATGAGGTTAGCTCCTATTCTGACATTTTGTAAATGCCTTAAGACCTGGCTTAAGACCTGGCTGGCTTGGGGACCCAACAGGGAGCTTCATACTGGAGGTAGTTGACTAATTAAAACTTAACTACCCCTCTCCCAAAGTCAAATTCCCTCCTTGCCATCTTGTGGTTAATGATTTTATCTGCTGTAGATTGTTGTTTTTTATGATTGATGATTTTATCATATTCTAATATTTTTATGTTGTAAGCACACAGAGTTGTTGGACGAGTTTCATAATTTATGGTTTAAATTTCTACTCTCCCCAAAAAACAAACATTCTAAGCAAAATACTTTAAAATTTTAATTTAAGGTTCTACTATTAAGTTTATAGTCATGAATGCTGGTAGTTATTCCTATATCTTTACCGAAAATGGGCATCAGATCAAATGGGGAATTCTGGGGGTCAAAGTCTACACATCTTAAAGTTGCCAAGATTTACAACATATTGAAATACAGTACAGAATCTTTCTTAACTACCCAGAGCCTACATATCTACACATCTGAAAAGTTGGAAAAAGATCTTTATGCCCATCTTTAGTGCTTATAACTTGTTCAGTGGTTAATGGAATTATTCTGTAAATTTTACTTTTCACAAGAAATGGCAGTTGTGTGTCACAAACCGAGAAGGAAGCAAAACTTGAGAAATTGTAATTGGTGCTGTTTCTTTCTGATTTACTAAATAACAATTCTATTTAGACTCAATCACATTTACAGCACTTTTCTTACACTTAAGGCCACACTTATTTCAGCAATGATTTCAGTAAGTATGAAATGTTTACATAAAAAAACTCAACCATTTTAAAAAGTCATTTTTGTGGAAATTCTATTCTATTAATATAGAATGAATATAGATTTTAAAATATTTTTTAAACATGGAAAATATATTCTAATCTGTAAAAAGTTACTAGAAATGAAACTGAATTTTAGCTACATATTTCAATATAGAATGTGATTTTTAGTTCAGAACTTATCATAACACATTAAAGTCTAAAAAACAAATTAATTTTCCATTTGTTTATTGAACTACAAAATTATAATCAGTATTACAGGAGTATAAATGGAGCAAAATTACTAAACCAAATCAACAGCCAATGCGCAGGTAAGATATATGTAAGCATGTATCCAATAAAGTTTGTTTAATTACAATAACAGGTTTACTTGAGATTACTATACTAATCTCAAACACCTAGACATGTTCAGCAAGAATCCAAATAATCATAGAGAGCACCAAAGAGAAATTTTGTGCCTTAATTAATCTCCAGAAATAATTCCTCCGTGTTCACAGTGGTAATTTTCCAAACAGCAGATGGGGGTTGAAGAAGAATTACAGAACAGTAGACTTATATATTTAAGTCTACATATATATAGATATACAAATATAACTCTTTCAAACTGAGAAAAAAATGGTAGATTACTTACTGTTTCATATGCTGTGATAATTTTTTTTAAAACTTCTGGAACAATCCCTTGCAATTCCATTGTGGGATACTGATCATTGAGATTTATCACAACCAAGGTTGTATTATCAGATTTCACTAAGCGGCTAGACACTGCCAGAATACATTGTATAAGATTTGCTACAGGAGCAAGCCCACACAACTCTTTGAATGAAACTACTGCATTCTATTTGGAAGAGAGAAAGGGGGGGGGGGGAGAGAAAAATGTGAAGTGATATTGTACTGGTCAATTAATAGTTTATAATGTAGAAGTTATAACAGTTAAAGTATTAAGTAATACATAGATAGGCCTAACTACTTTTCCTAGGCAAACAATGAGCTATGTGTATTTGTAGCATTTATAACAAATACTCGATATGATAAATACATTTTGAAATGTTGCCAAGAAACCAATTCTTTTCACTTGTAATTCACAAGAATAGCTTGCTTTCTTATGCAGAAAAATACTGAGGTATCCATGTTGTAATTTTACATTATGGCCACCATTTCAAAACCTTCTATGTTGAAAGTTTATAATATTTGTCATGCAACCTTTTTATTCTTGGAGGTTTAAATAACTGTGGGTCATTCACTTAATTACTGAGGTTTTCTTTTAAAAAGGTCAATAATTACTTATTTTGCCATGAAAAATTTGAGAGATGTTTTGATCTTGTTGAATCTCAGCTCCACTTCAAACTCTGATTTCTAATTAAAGACAGTAGTGAAATAATGATTGCTATTTTATTATATAACTGAATTTAAAAACATTAAAACTTAAGCTAAGGCAGCTAAATTAGCCCTTGTCTAAACATAGGCTAAACATGCTCAACATCCTCTCCACAAGTAATTTTCCACCAAATATAACATCTAAGTTCTTCCAGGCATTTCATTAATGTATGTTTTTGTATAGGTGGATGGGTAATTAAAGGAAGGAAATGCAATGATACAAATGCAAGAAAAGTGAAGGAAGAAAATGACTCCCACAGTACTATTTAGTACTAAACACAACTCCTGATATTTATATACATTGCAAATCATTGCTAAAAATAGAAAACTGCCATTTAATAAAGAAGCCTTTAAAGAAAAACAATCCATCATTTTAGACTTGAAATTACTGTACTAAACAGACTGCTGACATAAGGAAATAGGTTCATTTACTTGATTGACATAAGTTTACACGGTGTTTGGATTCATCAGCTATTTTAATTGCCTGTGCCAGTTTTCTTTAGGAAAATTGCCCAAGGATACTATCTGGCAACAATTTTTATACTGAAGGACTGACATTTAGTTATTGACTGAATGTTAAGTTACAATCAAAAGCTTGTTCTCACCACTATGTATTCCAAGTTTAGTTAAGTGCTATTGAAGAGGCACTTATTTTTATCCACATAAAAATATTCAATCTTAAAATAAAAATAACCTGCCCACATTTAATTTTCTTCTGTATGCTATTTATTTGATTTTTATTCCACCTGTATAAAATACTTATTATTTTATAAGTAATTAACATGATGAATATACCTAATACTCCTTATTCCTATTTTCTTCACAACTACAACTGTGAGGTGGGTTGATCTGAAAAAAGATTGCCTGGCCCAAAGTTATCCTATCAAGAAATTCATCAGGTTTTATTAATATCTTTAAATAATAATTACAGTCAAATGAAAAAAAAAAGAAATTCATCAGGTAAAACCTAAATATTCCTTTATAAACTATTATTATTTCTAGAAACTAATATTCCGTTTAGATTCTGGATTCATAATTAATTAAGTATATATGCAAAAATATTGTCTATGAGCCTTGGGGCGCAATGGAGTGTAGTACTGCAGACTACTTCTGCTGACTACCAGCTGACTCCAATTTGGCAGTTCAAATCTCACCAAGATCAAAGTTGACTCAGCCTTCCATCCGAGGTGGGTAAAATAAGAACCCAAATTGTTGGGAGCAATATACTGACTCTCTAAACTGCTTAGAGGGAGTTGTAAAGCACTGTAAAATGGTATATAAGTCTAAGTGCTATTGCTTTTGCTATGAAAGATGCAAAGTCATACCTGCATATTTTCTCTCAAATCTGTGGCATCACGTATGGGCTGAAGAGCATTCTTGAAAACTTCATCAATACTTTTAATCCACAAAGTCCTCATAGAAGCATATTCTCTGGATTTCTTGCTTTTTCTAACAGAAAGTCCCCGTTTATGAGGTTTCCCTCCACCTCTTCGATTAGTAATAGCAACATGAACAAACAAGAAAGCATATGCTAGAGCATCTCCTGTTAGAGACTGAAGTGGGACATGACGATAACCTGGTTGTAAACATTCAAAAGGAATTGTGTATTGCCCAATGAATTCATCTCCAATGTAATCATCATCTAACACAACAAAGCGTACCATAGCAAGTTCAGGTAGGTTAATCTGAAATTCAAAACTCTCATCAAAAATAGGATTGTCTCCATTTTGGTGGATGGTTTTTGTTCTTTGTTCTGCACAATCTGCTGGAATCCCATGGATTTCTACATACACATAAGGATCTACTACATCACCTTTGGCACCTGAACATTTTGGCTTTGGAAAATTTTGCCCACTAATAATCTTAACATGAAGAAGCTGAGGTGATACACCAGGCACTGAGTCCTTTGTATTTGCGCTAAAGAAAGATACTTCCTCCCGCATGATAGCAGGTCGCAACACATAGCCACAATTGCCATTTTGTCGAAACCAGCCAATGTTAAGATCCATCATTAATCCAGGTGTCTGAAAGTTCATTGCCACAATTTGACAGCCGCATTTCCAAAAATCCTGTGGGTTCATATTACTAGAATCAATCCTCATAGGGCTTGGGAAAACCCTTGCAAGAAAGCGTTTATTATAATTCACAAAGTCTCCAGGATGTTCATTGGCATATTTGGTAGCGAGCACTTCATTAAAAGAACAAAATTCCCAGTACTTCTGAAGTTGAAATGAAACTTGAAAATCTTTGAACTGAACTGATTTACATATGCTTACCAGTTCTGATAGTTCTTTACAAAGCTGAAACCGTTTCACTGGCACAACATTCTGTGTTTCCACTGCATCTTTTCCCATTCTCTGTGACATTTCTGCACCTTCATCTTCATCTGTAACATCTCCCTCTAGCCCAGAGCAATTAGATGATAACTTCTTGGCTTTAATTAGTATTTTTCCTTTAAGATATTCAGGAGATGGCAGGTAAGATTCCTCTGTATTCGGAGGATTTGTATACAATTTATCCTCCAGGATTTTCTTCATATGCTGGACCATCACATTCTGTTGCTTGAGAGAACAATGATTTTCCAAACATAAAATAAGAGGATATTCGGAAGCGAAAAATGCATATGTGTTAATTATGTCAATTACACTTCGGAAAACAATTTGTGAAGTCATTGTGTGACCTGTATAAATTACAGGCTCATTGTCAGGACCGTCCCACACATCCAACTCAACACTGCGGCATCCCATTTTTAGAGCACGAATATAACCGCTGATATCAGATGGTCCTCGAAACTGATCTTCTATTAAGTATGTGTTATGAGAAGAATTTATGAAATAATGAGATAAAGGCTGTTTCATGTCCTGGCACACCTTTTTATGCTCCGGATCAAATATATGACATTCTGGGGAAGTAAGATAATTTGTAAAACCATCTATGGAGAGCCAGCCTCTTTCTTGACCTTCTTTAGATGGTTCGTATTTGTGAATAATATCAAGGCTAGTCTTATCTGTGACATGAGGCATACCCTGTTCTGCTTCTAAAAACATCATAAGGTCTTTTGTATCAAGAAATTCTTTATTACTAGAAAACTGAACTAGTAAGAAATATATTTCAGGACGAGTGCAAAGCTCATGGAAAACTTCAATAAATTCATTTTTCGTGATTTCTGTATCAGATTTGTCTTTTGAACGCTGCAGTTCTTTGAATTTTAATTCAATTTTATTTGTTTTTAAACCAGGATTTAAATTTTTTATAAACTGCACAGCTTTGTCCAAGGATATCCACCCGATATGATCTATATCTGTTTCACTAAACATTTTGGAGACCCATGAGGTGCGCATTTTATCTTGCCTACTTTCTAGCATGTCCAGTGTATGTTTTCCATAAGATATCAAGTACCTTAGGCCAGTAACCCAAATATTTGCAACATCTGCAGTGTTTGCAACTAGATCCAGAGATTCATAATTGTCTCCATAAATAATAGAAAATGCACAATCTTCTGAAATTTGGTCAGAAATTCCATTGCTACGAAAAATGTCTGTATTTTTCCCTATTCTCACTTCTTTGACTGATTTGATATCAATTTTTGCTTTTTCAGAATCCTTCTTTGAAGGTTCCCATCTTAGTGACTGCATATCTGCATCTAAAAGAAAATATCGATGGTATATCCTAGAGTTGGACCGAACTTTTCTGAGTTCTGAACCTTCAACCATAGCATTGATACAGTCACTTGCACTACTTATTTTCTTCTCAGTAGGCATGCTGCTAAATGAGACAGTTTTTTTCCGTTCCCTTTTTTGTTTTGTGCCATCCTGGAAATAGAGAAGAAAAAAATATAAAATTACATGGTATGGGAAGATTATAGAATAAGGGGACAACCTACAGTAGGGTAGATGAATTCAATTACAGTAGCAATTAGGACACTATTGGAAGATTCAAAAGATCAGGTTACAGATAGATAATAACAACTTGATGGCATGTAATCAATCAATCAAACAAACAATCAAAATAGTATTATACATGGATAATCAAATCAGCAATATCTTCCCATATGCTAAATCAGGTAAAATGTCCTACTAATATCCTACTAATGTAATGTCCTAAAATGATAATAGAATGAAGAAAGAGTAATTATAATCTTCAAGAGTAAAAATAATTTCTGGTAATGGAACTGAAAATAGGTGTTCTTCTCAAGTTGCAAATAAGACAGAAGTAAAAAGAGGTTAAAAAAACCCTAGGTAATAAAATGGAGCAATTTCCTGACCTTTCTCGAGAGCAAATATGGAAACAAGACAGAGAAGCCTTGTGTAAGTTTGAGCTAATCACTGTATAGCAGTACAAGTATATCACAGTGTACCACTGTGCATACCAATATAATAATTGAGAGTCAGTTTGGTGTAATGCTATCCTAGAAACCAGGAAACTGAGTTCTTAGCCTGACCATAGGCTTGAAGGTGAATTGAGTAACTTTGGGTCAATTATTGTCTTTAAACTCAATCTACCTCAAAATGCTATTGTGGGGCATACAGGAGATAGGACTATTAGGCATGTCCACCAACTTCAGTTCACCAAATTTATAAAAAAGGCAGGAAAAATCTTCTTCATCAACCTATGAAGAAATAGTGAGTATTTATTAAAAATGCATTGTAGAGACAGTTTTGTGTGGTGATTAAAATGTCAGATTAGTAACAAGGAGATTGTGACTCAGATCCTCCTTGAAACAACAAAGTTGTTTGTGTGACCTGTCACTCAGTCTCAGCCCAACCCACTTCCGAATTTTTGTCTCATATAGACAATAACATTAAAAACTGTTTCAAGCTACAAAAATAAAGAAGAGTAGAACTGTTTATGAAGTAAATATTATATTTGGATATCCTGGTGTACAAAGAACATGGGAAAATGAGTTATTCTGGAAAAAGTGAGACTAGAGAAACAGGATAATAAAATAGTAAATTCAGTTGACAAATAGGGTTGACAGACTAAAATCTGTTTCCATTCTGAACCCCCAGTAATACATCTTATCTTATCTTCCTTCCTTCCTTCCTTCCTTCCTTCCTTCCTTCCTTCCTTCCTTCCTTCCTACCTACCTACCTACCTACCTACCTACCTACCTAATTACCTAATTACCTACCTATTGTATAGCTGTTCATATCACAAAACAATAGTAATGCTTAGTAATATGCATGTTTGCATATTACATGTTTTACAAGAAAATTAAGATGAATAGTATTACTATTTGAAGAAATATTTCTACTCTTATTTATACTTTAATATTAAGCACTACATTTATAGAATAATAATTGTTACTCAATAATAATTGTTCAAAGACATTCATGGAAGTAATTCTCAACAACAAAACCACACAAGGATTAAGAAGAATATGATTTGAAATGACAACATAGTACAAATGACAATAAGAGATGTAGAATATCAGACTAAATATTTGAAACAATAACAAATAGAATTGTTGTTGGTCTTACCTGAGACGCCCGTTCTCTGGGCAGGTGGAGATAGAATCCAGGAATGGGTTAACTCCATCTGTTATCCTATCAGACTGAGTCTGCAAACTTTCCTGCCTCCTTTGGTAGCTCCACCGTTTTTGACGAAGGCGTTGCTGCAGATTGACATGTGCTGAGTGAAAAGTCTCTCCTTGCTGACACCAGACTGGACCTCCTGGAGGTGGGGGCTGGATGCTATCTCCACCTGCCCAGAGAATGTGTGTCTCAGGTAAGACCAACGCCTATTCTCCATTGTTGGTGGAGATAGAATCCAGGAATGGGACATACCAAAGTCTGTCCTGTTCTCATGGATGAGTCATAGTCTGGACCGAAGTCTCCTGGCGCATGTGAACCTGTTGTAAAACCTGCCTGCCAAATGTCATGTCTGCCAACGTGTAGCTGTCTATCTTGTAATGGCAGATAAATGGGGACAGAGAGGCCCAGGTGGTGGCCTAACAAAACTCTTCCAGCAAAGCCTACGTTACCCATGCCACTGAAATGGCTGCACTCCTGGTGAAGTGAGCCATGATACGCCTTGGAGACGACTGAGACTGCAGTTCAGAGGTTTTTTCAATGCAGCCCGTATCCAATACCCCAAAGAGGAAGGAATTGCTTTGTGTCCCATGGACGCTGGCTGAAAGGAAACGAAGAGTGCTTCTGTGCAATGCAATGAAGATGTCTGACTGATGTGGATGCAAAGCGCCCTTCTGACATCTAATGTTTGCCACTGTCATTCGAGGTAATGAACCGGTGCCAGGTAAAAGTTTGGTAGTATCAACTCTTGGGCCCGGTGCAACCTGGTGTTGAAACCTTTAGAACAAATAAAGGGTCAAGTCGTAAGACAACTCTGTCAGAATGGAACATGCACAAATCCTGCCTTACCAACAAGGCTACCAATTTTGATACCTGCCTGGCTGATGTGATTGCCACCAAGAATGCCACTTTCAGAGAAAAGTAGCAGAGCCAGGTGGCCCTCAAGGATTTGAAAGTGGCCCCTGTGAGGGAATACAGTACTTTGGTCAAGTACCATGTTGGATATTGGTGAATGATCGGAGGTTGGAGATTGGTGGTCCCTCTCAGTAATCGTTGAATCAAAGGATAGTGTGAGTGATTTGTAGGTGAGAACTGAAGAGAGGGCTGCTACCTGTCTCCAGAGGGTGTTAAGAGACAGGCCGCTGTCCAGGCTCTCTTGCAGGAATTCCAACCTGATGGATGGGGGCCTTCAAAGGAATAATGTTCTTGTCTCTGCACCAGTGGCAAAAGGCCCTCCAGGTAGCATCGTAAATGCGGTTAGTCGGTGGGTGCCTCGACACCTGTATTGTCCCGATGACACTAGGGGATTGTCTGTCCACACTCAGGACCTGCCACGCAATCTCCAGGCAGTAAATATGAGCCACTTAGGGTCCAGGTGGAAAAAGGGACTCTTAGCCAAGTGAAATTCGGAAGACACGGATCCTCCAGGGGGACGCTACTCATTATATCCACAAACCAGGGCTGATGGGGTAAATAAGGTGCCAGAAGCTGAAATTCCCTCCTCCAGCATCCTCCGGATGACTCACTGAATTAGAGGAAGAGGAGGGAACACATACCAAAGCCCAGCGGGCCACAGGCAGTTTAGCACATCTGTTCCTTTTGAACTTGGAACTGTGTACCTTGAGACAAAGCATGGTACCTATCTGTTGTCCTTGGTGGCAAAGAGATCACTGGCATTCCATACCACTGGTAAGTTCCCAGAAGAGGTCCGGGTGCAGTGTCCAGTCCACGTGGTCTGAGTGCAGTTGAGCCAGTCATCCAGAATGTTCCTCACCCCTGAATTGTTTAGCCTTATGGACAGTAGGTGGGCTTCTGCCAAGAGGCTGAGAAGCTCTGCTTCCCGCATGAGGGACCTGGAGTGAGATCCCCTCTGGCAGTTGATATGGGCCTTCGCGGTCATGTTATATGTGAGGACCAGGATGTGCCTGTTGGTTACGCCCTTCTTGGAAATGCACCAGAGCCAGCCGGACAGCCTGTAGTCCCAGCCAGTTGATGTGCTTGAGATCTGACAGGGACCACTGGTTCTCGGCCATCCATGACTGAAGGTGGGCGCCCCAGCTGAACAGACTGCCATCCATGGTCAATGTTAGGCGGTCTGGCTCTCTGAACCGTGAGTCCTTGGAGATGGCCGGGGACAACCACCACCTCAGGGACTTGGTTACCTCTGGAGGTACCTGCACAATGGTCAATGAACAGCTCCTGCCAGTCTTATGGTGTGGAAGCAGAAACCACTGGAGAGTCCAGTTGTGTAGATGGGCCCAAAGAATGATTGCGAAGCAGGACACCATCTTCCCCAACAGTTAGGAGAATACAATAAGCTGGACTCAGTGTTGAAATCTCATGTGGCCAGCCAAGGTTTGGAAACTGTCCTGGCACTCCTGGGAAAGGTAAAACCTGCCCTCCGTGTTGTCTATGATAGTTCCCAGGTGGAAGAGGCAAGTCGAGGGGCAGAGATGGTTTTGTCTAGGTTTATGGAAAATTTGTGATTCTCCAGGGCCTGAACTGTGATATCTACATCTCTTTCTGCTTGACTTGTTGATCTGGACAGTAGAAGGATGTCGTACAAATAGCACTGGATTCTAACTTGTCTGACCCAGAGATGAACCGCTACTGCGGCTAGTTTAGTGAACAAATGGTCACTATGGGGAGGGGCAGGTACGGCGGGAACTTCAGGACTAGCCATTACCGGGGAAGGAGGATTCGCTACATCACAGAGATCCCTCCTTCCGGCCCTGTTAGTTCCACTCCAGGGCCAGGTGGCGAGAACTGTCAGGGCCCTGGTCTCAGGCTGTTGTTGCTAAATGCCAGGTCTGTGGTTCACAAAGCTCCCCTTGTCCGGGACCTAATTTTAGACGAGGGGGCAGACCTGGCATGTATTACTGAAACCTGGCTGGGCCCAGAGGGAGGAGTCCCCCTCACTGAAATGTGCCCAGAAGGATTTCAGGTGCTTCATCAGCCGCGACCCCAGGGAAGGGGTGGGGGAGTGGCTGTCATCGTACGAAGGTCTTTAGTTCCTCGTAGGATCCCTGCTCCGGAGCTTGTGAGTCCCTGTTGATGAAGTTGGACCTTGGTGGTCAAGTGGGTTTGTTGCTAACGTACCTACCTCCCAACAGCGTTGCAACAGCCCTCCCCTCGCTCCTCGAGTCAGTAGCCGAGTTAGCGGTAGAGTTCCCCAGGCTTATGGTTCTGGGGGATTTCAACCTGCCTACACTTGGTGAACGCTCTGACGGGGCGCAGGAGTTCATGGCTTCCATGACAGCCATGGACTTGACCCAAGTAAT